CCGAATTTGGGATTTTTTCCAGATATTAGATCATTTGTTTAAAACTTGTAAGATGGCATCTGGAAATGATAAAATTAAAAATATGAAATCGTGATTTATGAAATAATGAGGCATTTGTGATATAAAGGGTAACAAAATTTACAAAAAAAGCTTAATATTAATTTACTTTATTAAACATTTCTTTCAATCTAGTTTGTTTAAGTTGCTTCGTTTTTTGTGCTAATATTTTTCTTTAATTCTGTAGGCAGACATAATTTCTTATTCAGTTACAAAGTTCCATTGTTCAAGTCATTGTAATTGCTGTGTCGAAAATTCAAACCAACTTGTCATTCGAAATTTTTTTGTTTTCAATAACCTCTCTGTTACTTTCTTCACTATCAGTAGTGGAATTTTCTGGATCTAAAACCATGCTGCAGATTTTGCCGTCCATTAATTTATTGATATTTGGGGCATTGTTATTGCAATGAAAAACTTCTGTTTTCTTTATTTCTGCTTTTTCACATTTCTCATCCTTACCATCAAATATGCTAGCTTTCGGCCATAAATTATGCCAAGCATTTTTTAAAGTATCTAGAGGTACATCCTCCTATGAGGTTACAATGTTCCACACAGCAGATTTTATGCTAAAGTATTTTAAAAAATCTTGAATAGTCTTGCATTATTGAAGAAATTTAACCTGGATTCTAAAAATGCTACTTTATATTTGCATTTCAGCACGTGTACTATTCTGATATCCATAGACTGAATGATGGACATACAGTTTGGAGAAAAGAATAATATGGATTCTTTATCTTTCACTAAAACTTTAACTGAAGTGTGAGCATCATCAGGTAAACTAACCGAATATAAATATTGCCGAGCCTTAGGTATGAAATGATTTCAAACCAATCATACATTAATGCTTGTCATCCATGCTCTTTTATTTTCATGATATACGAGGGCCATCCAGGAAGTAGATTACGTTTCCGTCTGTCCGCTAGGGGCGGGGCTAGCGCGGCCATCTTGGGGTCAGAGCGTTGCGCAGCTCAGTCTGCATCTAGCCGTGCTAGTGAGAGGTTCGTGCTGTGCTCCGTTCAGATACTGTGACGGTTTGAAATGTCTGCGTTAATTGAAAATCCCGCGAGCTGCGAGGTGCGCTCAGTAATAAGGTTTCTGACTGCAAAAAACTGTAAACCGATAGAAATCTATCGGCAGCTTCGTGAAGTGTATGGGGACAACATTATCACTGAAGGTGGAGTGCGTCAGTGGGTCATAAGATTTCAAAATGGCCAAAACCAATGTTCACGACGAAGATCGAAGTGGGAGACCCAGCATAGTGACCGCCGAACTTCTCGAAAAAGTCGATGCTAAAGTCCGTGAAAATCGAAATTTCACAATAACGGAACTTTCTTTGAGTTTTCCACAAATTTCGCGAAGTTTGTTGCACGAAATCATCAGCGAAAAGCTTGGTTACCACAAGTTTTGTGCAAGATGGATTCCAAAAGTCTTGACAGAGGACCACAAAAATCAGCGAATGGCTGCAGCGTTGAACTTTTTGGACGCTTACCATAAGGATGGTGACTCTTTACTCGATCGCATCGTTACTGGTGACAAAACATGGGTGAAACATGTGAACTGTGAAACGAAATTGCAATCAATGCAGTGGGGGCACACAAGTTCTCCCCAAAAAACCCAAGAAATGCATGCAAACAATGTCGGCAAGGAAGATGATGGCGACTGTTTTTTGGGACAGAAAAGGTGTAATTTTGGTGGACTTCCTGGAAAGAGGCACTACAATAAACTCTCAAAGGTATTGCCAAACTCTCCAAACTCTCCAAAACTCAGAAGAGCAAATTCAAAACAAGCGCAGAGGAATGTTGAGCTCTAAGATCTTGTTGATTCACGACAACGCCCGGCCCCACACGGCAAATGTCACTCGTAAAGTTCTTGAATCTTTTAAGTGGGAGTTGTTTCCTCATCATCCGCCGTACAGTCCCGACCTGGCACCGAGCGACTTCCACCTATTCCCAGCAATGAAGAAGTGGCTGGCTATGCAGCGTTTTGATGACGACGCACAGCTGCAAGAAGAGGTAACGAAGTGGTTGAAGGCGCAGGTGGCCGAATTTTTCGACGAAGGAATTTCCAAGCTCGTACATCGCTACGATAAATGCCTTAATTTGTATGGTGACTATGTAGAAAAGTAGTATTTGAGTGTGGCTTTCATCTGTATATAATAAAATTTGTTTCCTATACTTTGTTTATTTTTTTATTCCAAAACGTAATCTACTTTCTGGATAGCCCTCGTATAATGGGAAAATCGGCACTCCTTTAAATGCACGAGGTCGTGTATTTTCCGATTATGAAAAGTTTACACTTGTGCGTTCCTGCAATATTTGCACATGCTAAAATTGTTACTCTAGCTTTGGAATCTTAGACAGCAGTTGAAGCCTTTTCTGTAGAGGTTGCTAAGGTATTTCACAGTACATATTACCAGAAAAGACCAGTTTCATCAGTGTTGTAAATTTGTTCTGCAGATAACTTTCACTATGTAAAAGTTCTGCGAATTCGCATGCAAATAATTCAGCAACTTAAGTATCAGCTGAAGCTTTCTCATTTGAAATTTTTATTTGCCTTATACCACATCGATTTTAAAATTTGATTAGCCAATTTGTCGAATATGTGCCCTCCGTTTTTAAGTTCATTTCTTAGTGAAATATTTTGGCTTGAGCCATTAGCTTTGGACCCGTAAATGGCATGCCCTCGCTGCGTCTCTGTGATCATTCAATTATCTCTTTGTCATGATCGTCAATTTTAGCATAGCGAATAATTTTTCTGTTATTCATGCGAGTGGGGCTTCAGAATCCACAAAAAAGTCATAAAGTTCCTCTTTCTGTTGTTTTCCAATGCCATACTCCTCGCATAATTTTCAGAAGGATATAGCTATATCCATATTTTGTAGCAATTCCACTTTTTGTTTAAAGAACATTGAAACATGCTTTTGCTTTGTATATCCTGTTGCAGCTCCAGAATTAGAAACTCTTTTCGACATAATCGAAAGTTCAAACATTAGTTTTCATAAAATTGCTCTAATTAGAACAGCCTGAAAGAAATAAAAAGCTAGATCAAATTAGAGAATGTTGAGGAACAGTGCAATCTGCTATATTAAATAAAATTCTTTAGAATCAGGAAAGTATGATTTTAACCTAGCTTAACAGCGTCCGCTATACCTTATTCATGCTATATGTAGCATGAGATTGGCAATAAAAGATGAAATGTTGCTTAAAATTTTGTCTTGCTTCTATCACGCACTAAGCCTAAATTGTATTAATTTTAGTTATTTATTACACTTGCATCTTTTTCTTGCACATGCTTAAGGCTTATCTGTGTCCTGAGTAAATAAATTCTCACATATATTTAAGGCTTGTTTAGGGTCGGCGCTACATATCTTACTGTCTGATGCACTCTGTGCAGGTCCTAAATTCTATTACCAAGCGCCTCCCTAAGTTCTAAATTTTAGATCCCAGTGATTTCCTTAAATTCTAAAAATTTTATCATCCTTTAATTTTGTTGCTCCTTAAAATTCCAAAAATCTTGTCTTCCCTGCATTCAGCCACCCAGTGTGGCCATAAGAGCTCTGGAGCCGATTGTGGGTTTATATGAATAAAAAATCAGTTATTCTTAATTCAAATAACCGTAAATGTAATCTTTTGGCCTATGAGTATCATTAATAAAATCTATTTTTAGCATATGGAAAGAAATTTTTGTTAAATTGTTGCTTGTCAACATAGAACATTTAACTTAAATCTGTATTCATCGCCAAACGTAATGTCAACATAAAAGGTTTCATATTCTTTGTTATGCAATTACTAATATAAAATTGTTGTATGTGACTCAAGTTGTCATGTGTTGATAAATATGCGGTGATGAAAGCAAAATGTAATAAATAATGATTCGTCAGGTTGGCATCAGGGATTTAAAATATTAGTAGGTGTAAAATCAATGATGTTTCTATGTAGAACGTTTTGGTCTGAGGTATGTGCCAAGGAAATATGCAGCTATCGAGCCAAATTAATGATCATACAAAATTTACGTCAGATGATTGGTAATGAAATATTTTATTTAGTGCCGAAGTGAAATTAAGAATTGAGATTCTCTACATGTTTTCTTATGGGCGGTAATCATGCATAAAGCATTAAAAAATAGTTGTTGCCAATTTTGAGGTCCAGATTTTAGTTCATTCTGGATATTGGATGTCCGGATCTCGGACTTTGTTGTGTATGTAGGTAGATAGCTATTTAAATGAAGAAGGGTAAAAAGAAAGCTGTATGTTTTGATTTTTTCCAGTAGTTTGTTTTTCCTTGCTAATTCTGATTGATCCTCATACATTGATTTTTTGGAGTGCAACCTAATGTTTTCAAAAACTTCTATTCAAAAAAAAAAAAATAATAATTGTTTTTTTTATACAGATCTTTGTCCTTGATTTAAAAAAAAAAGTGTTCTGAATATTATAAAGAGTTTCTGATTCAGTTTAATTCTTCATTTTGGTTATTTCTAACAAATTAAAGTATTTCTAAATAAACGCAAATTAAAGATTAAAACTGTGTATATTTCTTTATTACTTTAAATTTTATATCTCTTATTAAAGAAAAGTTAATTCTTTGTGATTGATTACCATATGTAATTTGAATATCAAAGTAAATTTTTATTTATTTTTTATTTTGAAATTTAAACTTTGGATTCCATTTGATGAAGCAGACAGGTAATCCTTGAAATTTCTAGTTTTACTGAACTTTTAATGTGGTGCTAGCTTGTGAATCCACTTTATTTGTTTAATTTTTTAAATATTATGTAACATGATGTATATGGTCAAGTGATTTAGATTGTTTTTCTGAATTAATTCCATTTACTTATTATTCATTCATAGACTGTGTAAGATGAATACCATACAAGTTTTGACACATGAAACATAAAAATTATATTGAGTTTTGAAACTTCACAAATATAAAATTATTATGCTTCAGATTCCTCCTTTACCACCAAAACCTGCAATAACATCTGAAATGGCTGAAGCCAAATCTAAGAGGCAGCTTGGGAGTGATACAAAGACCCTCATTGGAGACCAGTTTAACAAAGACTGTTTACAGTTAGAACAGTTAGTATTATTTATTAATATAAAATTTTATTGTTAAAATGTGCATGAATGTAAATATTGTCATAAATTTATATAAATATTTATATGTTTATTTTCTATTGGTATACACAATTTCACATTCGCAATACATCAGTGTGTTTCTACAAATGAAACTATTAAACTCTGCTTTCTTGTGCATTTTATTAAAATCACTGATGCCAGATGTATAATTGTATTTATTGTATTTTTCTTTCTCCAAAAAAACTTTCTATTGTGAGCAGAAATATATATAGATTATACTATAATTTTACTTCATGGAAATGGCATTTTTAAAAATATTTTATTGGCAGAAATCTAATCTTTAAATTTATTTTTTTTTTTTTTTTTTTTTTTTTTTTGTTTTGATGTTGTGTGCTACATTATTCTGTTATTCAAAATTTGTAAGCAATTTTTGAACTGTTGCTGTTTTATGGGATTATCGATCATTGAACCATCATATGTTGTTGAAGGTGTGTTACCTGCCAGAAGTCCAAATAAATATGCACAAATAAGCACTTAACGTCAAACTTTCTTGCATTTTCTTAATGTGGTAAGGTTTTTGATACTTAGGATATTAGCCAGCACCTGCTGATATGCTCCAAATAATACCATCCATGACTACTATGCTTCCAGCACAACTGGAGCCTTAGAAGCTATTTCAGGCTCATCTGAAAATATTCATTTCTTTTCTCTCTTCCTCTCTCCGTGCTACTGTTTTTTTTTTTTTTTTTTTTTTGTGGGAGGGGGCTGAGGGACATTGGAGGAATCTTTTTTTATTCTTAACTTCACACCACTTAGAACAGCTGCATATTTTTGGTACAACAGAAGACCAGAAATTCACAATGCTTGGAACAGAGACTGTGCAGATTTCAGGATAGAAAAGATAAATCATAATATTTAGACTAAAGTGCAAAATAAATAAGGGCATTAAGGACATACGGAAACATCAAGGACATATACAATAAAGATTTCTGAAAATAAGGGACATTAATAAAGCATAAAATATTCCACTTTTTGTACTTGTTTCAAGCATTCTTTTAATATAGAGGTTTGTTTTAAAACATTAGGGTGCTCCAGAATTTTTTTTCCTTTCTGTAAATTACATTAGTCATAATCTCTTGCTCTGTAACACAGCTCTGTTGTTCTAAAAATTTTAGGTATTTTTCACCATGTTCCAAACCTTCATTAAGAGGTATTTTCCCACTCCTATCAAATTCACTATCCATGTTGTTGTCAGAATTCCGCTGTTCAAGTCCCGTAATTGCTGTGCCGAGAATACCGACTAACCTGTCAATCGAAATTTTTTCGTTTTCACTAACCTCTCTGTCACCTTCTTCATGTCTTTATCCATTTTTTGCAGCAATTCCACTTTTAGTTTGATGGACATCGAAACATACTTTCGTTTTGTAGATCCTTTGGGAGCTCCAGCATCGGAAATTCTATTTGACATAATCGGAAGTTCAAGTTTACTTTTATCAAATTGCTCTTACAGTCTGCAAAAAATAAATAAGCCGGATCCAATTCGAAGATTAAGGAACAACATAATCATCAATATTAACTGAAATAGATAATTAGATAATTTTAGCTTATACCGTCCGTTACACATAAAATGCGCATGCGAAAACGTATTCTGCGCTTGCGTACACGCATATGCGCAGTCGTAAAGGTCTTACGCACACGCGTAAACGCCTATGCGCATGTGCAGAAAGTTTTTAGCTTTGAGGTCCGGATTATGGGTGTCCGAATTAACGACTTTTGACTGTACATTTATAAGACATACCAATTCAATGCATTGTCTACATATTTCACCATGTTCCTAGTACTCTTATAGAGCTATACTCTGAATGGTCAAAGTGGTATTAATTATCAGTCCTAAAGTGTATGTATTGTTTAGATATGCAGTTTGTTTAAATATCTACACAATAAGTAATCTATAATATGATTTGGAAGTCACATTGGCCATATCCCTTAGATATGATTCTGTATAAAAAAAATGCTCCAATATCTTTATGGTGCTCTAGTACATGTTACACTATTTTTTATATATAACAGTGATGCTCATTCTTACATAGTTAGGCAATGAACAATGCAAACCAACGATAAACCAGATATCTTGATAAGTCTCAGCATCCAAGGTCATTTCAAAGTGCAAGGTCCCAGTCATTCATCACTTTGGACACCAATATTCAAAAAGGGCAAAAGGTGGTTTAATAAACCAAAATCCATGTTCAGTGATTTCAGCTGCAGATATATTCACTAAGAGGAAAACTTTCCGTATTTGTGAAAAAGACATGATCTAAAATGAAATTGTGGCCAAAAATGCAAACTGCTTTACAAAACAGTTTTTAGAGATATAATAAACAATATGACACTTTTCCAAATTTGCTCCTTGCCAAAAAAAAAAAAAACTTTCTGCTTTTGAAAATGTTAGCTCCTCTCCATCAAATGTGTTTATCAACTTATTACAGGTAATGGAACAATATAGAAATTGGAGAACCACAAGAAATGAAACATGCGCAAAATTGTGTATTTTTAGATGTTTAATGCCCTTTTAAATTGAATATTCTGTATATTCAGCTAAGACTTTAAAAATGTAGCATTATAATGGGATGATCATATATTTGAATGATCTTATAACAGGTATGTATAACACTGTATGCGAGTTTTTATTAATTATATTTGATTAACTTGTTAATTTTTTCAGATACCTCCGTCTTCTTCTTTCTCACTGCTTATTTGGGCGTGATGAGATCTTGGAAAAATTCTTGACTGAAAAAGAAGTTAGTTTACATTTTTATGTTTTTCGTTAGAAAATGTAATGTTTAATGTCAACTGAATGTTAATATTGTGTGTTTGCATATTAGTCTATCTTGATGTTCATATCTCTATACTATTAAAATCTGTGCGCGTCTGTTTGTTTGTTTGTAACCTCATCTTCTCCGAAACGGCTGGGTGTAGAGCTTAGCGGAGCATACCGTTGGATTCAGGACGTCCGTAGCTCGCCATTTTGGCCATTCGCATCTTCGTGCGACTTTAATTAGCAAAGATGGTAATTAGCCCGAAAAATGCACAAAAAATCGGTATCTCCGGAACTTACCGGCCGATTTCTTTGAAATTTTGAATTTTAAACCCGCGAGATGATGAAACGACGGATGGAATTGATTCTGCACTGATTTGCGAATTAGGAGCCTAATTAACAGGGTAATTAAAGACGCCCTAATACCCCTTTTTCTTTCCTTCCAATATCTTTGTGGACAGGCTGGGATTCGAAGGCGACGGGTTTTGAGGGGTTGCATCTGTATCCGTTTTCCAGCTGGAATCGTCAAGGCCATTAGCGGGGGACGAAATTAACGTAGTGGAGAATTTTTATTCATTATGCTAATTAATATTCTAATTTGCCAATCTCTCTAGAACAAAGAGCATCCTTCATTTGACTATCTATGAGTTGTAAATTTCTAAATTTGGAGAGCCGATCGCATTATTTGTTCCCAAGATATTAATTTTTCTTAATTAGAGAAATTGAGCCCAAAAATGCACAAAAAATCGGTAAATCTGGAACTTACCGGCCGATTTCTTTGAAATTTTGAATTTTAAACCCGCCAGGGGATAAAACGACTGATGGAATTGATTCCGCACTGATTTGCGAATTAGGAGCCGAATTAACGGGGTAATTAAAAAACGCCCTAATACTCCTTTTTCTTTTCTTCCGATATCTTTGTGGACAGGCTGAGATTCGAAGGCGACGGGTTTTGAGGGGTTGCAGCTGTATCCGTTTTCCAGTTGGAATCGTCAAGGCCATTAGCGGGGGACGAAATTAACGTAGTGGAGAATTTTTATTCATTATGCTAATTAATCTTCTAATTTGCCAATCTCTCTCGAATAAAGACCAAACCTCTTTTCAAAATTTGGCAATTATAAGATTGTAAATTATGAGCCGATCGGACTGCCGGTTGCTGAGATACGTGTTTTTGTGCATTTTTTTCTTAATTAGAGAAATTCAGCCGGAAAAATGCACAATATACGTAACTCTTGAAAGAATTAACCGAATTTCGTTTAAATTTTGAATTTTGCACTTACCGGATGCTCAAATAAAGGTTAGTGTTCGTTGTAAACTGTTTTGCTAATTAGGAGCCTAATTAGAAGATTCATTAAAAAAGCGCTACTACCTTATCTCCCCTTCCTAACTCTTGGTTGACGGCCTTCGATTCGAAAGCGACGGGTGTCGGAGAGGGGGAGATGGTTTCCGCGCGACTTTTGGAATCGTCAAGGCCATTCGCCAGGGATGAAATTAAAGTAGTGGAGGATTTTTATTCATTATGGCTAATTAATCTTCTAATTTGCCAATCTGTCTGGAACAAAGACCGAACCTCTTTTCAAAATTTGGCAATTATAAGATTGTAAAGTACGAGCCGATCGGACTGTCGGTTGCCGAGATACGTATTTTTTGTGCATTTTTCGAATAATTCGTGATTTTTGGATCTGAATAAGAAAAGCAACTTTGAGTAATACAAATTAATATGTCTAATAGCTTAAATCAGCGTGCTCATTTGTGTTACTGAGCTACGTAATCATTCACTGTTTTATATATTATATATTTGCATTAATATAATGTCTCTGTTCGCATAAAGCTAATATTAAATTAAATTTTTATTAAGAAATTTTATTTGCAAAAAAATAATAATTACACTATTTAAATTCTGATTAAATTTTTTTTCGTTCAGGGTTTTAAATTGAATTTCTGTTGCTCGGATATGGTATATGGAAAGTTTTCTTATTATAAATAATTATGATTGATTAATATACATTAATATATATATTGATGCACCTTTGTGTGCGATTATGTTAAAGTTTATCAAAAGGAATTTTAATAACGAATCTACTGTTTGAATATAATACCCGAAAATTTTTGCGATTACACTTGGCAAAAAGCCTGAGCTGTAAAATCGCTGAACACTGGTAGTTCAGTCCAATTTTCGAATCTCGGCGAACGGGCTGGCTCCATAGGTGCTTTCGTAATCTTCCGTATGTGTAACGTGTATGCAGTATATTGTGGATGCATACGTAAATAACACTGCTAAACACTGGTAGTTCGGTCCAGCTTTCGAATAAAGGCGATCGGGCTGGCTGCATGGGTGTTTTTGTGATTTATCATGTATGCAGTATTTTCTGGACGTATACGCGAATAATGGGTGTTTTCGTGATTTTACACATGTGTATCCTGTATGCAGAATCTTCTGGAAGCCTACGTGAATAAAGCGGGCGCAGCCCGAGCAAAAGTGCTGAACTCTGGTAGTTCGATGTAACTTTCGAATACCCGCGAAAGGGCTGGCTGCATGGGTGTTTTGTGATTTTAGGCATGTGTATTGTGTATGCAGTATCTAATGGATGAATACGTAAATAAAGCGGGCGCAGCCCGCTCAAATCCGCTGAACACTGGTAGTTCGGTCCATGTTTCGAATCCGAGAGAGCGGGCTGCCTGCATGGGTGTTTTCGTGATTTTCCGCATGTGTATCGTGTATCCAGTGTCTTCTGGATGCATATGTGAATAAAGCGGGCGCAGGCAGCACAAAAACCGATGAACACTGGTAGTTCGGTCCAACTTTCGATCCCGGCGAACGGGCTGGCTCCATGGGTGTTTTCTTGCGTTTACGCATGTGTATCGTTTATGCAATATCTTCTCCATGCATAGGTGAACAAAGCGGACAAGACCGCTCAAAATTGCTGAACACTGGTAGTTCGATCCAACTTTCGAATACCGGCGAAATTACAATGGAATCTCATGAACATTGAACAATGAAAAGTGGGCTTCAGCCCGCTCAGCTGGTGGGCTTGCCCGCTAGTATTGTATAACTAAAAATTAGAATTATTTATTTATGGTATTCTTTTGTAGCTGTGTTTTTGATAAGGTGATTAATAATTAAGACACAATAACACGCCAAATAAATACTAATTCAGAAGTCGAACAACAAAAATCAGCGTTAAGCGGTTTTGCAGCTGAGGATGGTGGTTCGGTAAAACCATCGAAACTAGTCCTGTGAAAATTTTGTAAATATAACGCTGATTTTTGTTGTTCGACTTCTGAATTAGTAAGGTGGTTAATATTACCAATCTTTTAAATTGTTGAAATAAAATATTAAATTAACAAACATCTTTGGAAGAATTAATGTGAGCTTAAGTAAATTTGCAGATTATTTCATGTAGCTTTGTATTATTTTAATAATGAATGTAATGAAAACAAGTCTTGAGCCTATTTTGCATTTCCTGAAAATTGTAATCTTATTTGAAAATTATTGCTTTTATTTCATAGTTAGATTTCATATTTATAATTTGTTTCAAAATTTTTATATTAATAGTTTGTATTTTGGGAAAGACTGGCATTTAGAGTTCGGACAATATTGTTATGATATCAGTATGACAGGAAAAGAGTGTGCTGATAAAATGCATTGTGTATTGAATTTACAATGCTGCATAAAATTGCAGCTTCATATTTTGTTTCCTATGAAAATACCAGAAGTTGAGGTCATAAAGCCATTAAACGTTGGTAATTCATCCGATTGAATAATTTAAGTCCATGGAAAAATACGTTTTTACATTTTCTTTGCATGTAACTTTAATGTCGGTTTCCTTTAATATGTCCTCCACAAAGATATTCAATCTAATGTAGATGTCACTCAAGTGGCTTGTTGTAATATGTGACCTATAACATTTCTTCAACATAAAATCAATAACATCCCATTAATATTCTCTTAACTAGGGGTCTTCAACCTTTCATGCCCAAGCGCCCCATCAATAAATTCACAAAGATCTGCAGGCCACATGCCTGTCAAAAAATAGTATAGTCAGAAAATTTATATAAAAAAGGGAGGTTTGTTTTGCAAGACTAAAACTTATTCTAAGCGAAGAGATAGTGTTACAAATTTGTATATATATATATACATTGGTTCCAAAAAGTCAAATGGAAATTGAATTAAAATGTTTTGCAACTTTTTTTTTTAAGTATGAAAAAAAGATGCACAGAATGATGTTACAAAATGCATTTACATTGAAAAAAAATCTCATGTGTACACCACATGACTTCCTTGTACGGAATATTAAATTTTACGTATTTTTTCTTGCATTTCATTTAAACTTATTGGATTGAATTAAATCTACTTCGCCGACAGCGTGTAAACCACAATAGAATAAATGCATTCTTTAAAATTCACTCTAGTATTTGTTTACCATAGCGACACTCTGGCGCTATAGATTCACTTAACAGTATTATATTTCGTTCATATTATAACTCATAATGCACAAAATTTATATCATTTAAAGAATAGAATTATCTACTCGTTGCCACATGTTCTATTCAAATACTATAATAAATCTAAAATGATGTATAAAAGAAATTAAGCAAACAAAACAAAAAAGAAACAGTTTTTCACAGATGATTGAGTATTTCTCATTCAATTAATTCAGTTCTCACTTCGCGAAAAGGCAAAAGTACATAAAACTCTAAATATCTATATTAAAAATTACGAAGTAAATCTTAAACACTTATTTCCTGTAAAAAATTCCAGAAAGGATTAAGCATGATTTAATTGGCAATAATAAATGAAGGCGTTATCTTTGTTGTTGCGAAGCTAAGTTTCTCTAGATTGGCAACAAATCCACTAGTCTGCTGTTTCAAATGTAAACAATTAATGGCCGCCATAAAAAAAAGGCTTAGCGGCACTTAAACAACTTTAAAATTGTTGATAACTCTAAAAATACTGCATACAGATTTACTAAAGGCATAAAAACCTTAACCAGAAGATAAAAACTACATAATTCAATTATTTTTAAAGCAAAAAATGTACAATTTACAAACATATAAGAGTAAAGAAACTGAGATCACTGAGCCGGGTAACAGCCGAGTTATGCGAGATACGTACATTCGTACAGACGCCACGAAAAATTCTCTTCAGAATTCATTTTAAAGCAGTTTTATAATTTTTTTGGAGAAAAAGAGTCTTTTATTTTGTCCTTACGTACAGATATCATGCAAAAACATCGTTAAATTTCATTCCATAGCAGTCAAAATGGATATTTTCGTTGAAATATGCTGCCTGTATCTTTTCGCTATTACAATACTTACTTTTTACTTCGTAGAAGGAAGTAAAAAGAAAAAAACATACATTACTGGTGGGAGATGGTAGTTACTTTAGTTTTAACGTGAAATTTGACATTGTTTTTGCTTGACTAAAGCTTCAATATCTGGTTTAATCTGTGTTGTTGCAATTTGTAAATTTTCCTCCAACTATCTGTCTGTCAGCCATGTTCTTGTTTTTGATTTCAGGATTTTCATTTTACTAAAACGCTGTTCAAGTATGTAGGTATTGCCAAAGATAGAAGACATGAAGAGTGTATGTTTACGAATTCCTGAATACTTGTCTTCGATCACGTACTTTGAATAAAAATCAATTAATATAGGATTTTCAGATCTTTTCCTGGTAAGCGGTAGTTCAAATCACTGAGATGACCTGTAATATCGACAAGAAATGCAAAGTCTTTCAACCATTTCTCAACACTGAACTCACGAATAGATTTCTTGTTAGATTCCATGAATTGTTGAACTTCACTCTTCAAGGAAAACAGGCGCTGAAGCATCTTTCGTCAGCTCGACCAGCGTACTTTCACGTAATTCACAACATCACCATATTCAGCTTCCAAATCACTCAAGAACTGTTGGAGTTGCCTGTGAAGTCCTTTAGACCAAATAAAATTGACCACTTTTACAACAACATTCATCACATGTTCAAAGTTTGAGAAGGACTTCTTGCACAAATTTTCTTGGTGGATGATGCATTGGAAAGTCATCACAGTGTTATTTCCATATGCCTTCACATTAGATTTGAGTAATGTTGTTACTCTTATTTTCTCTCCAGTCATAGATTTAGCACCATCCATGGTTATAGCAGATACATTACTGAAGTCTAACTCACATTTATTTTTATTTATTAAGTTTGTGTCAGACTCTAATACAAATCTGTTCCTTGTGTTGTACCTTTAAGTGCAACAACACTGGCTAAATTCCTCTACAGTTGTGAGGTCTCTGTCAATGTCACAAATAAAAATCGTTACTTGTGCAGTATCTGTTGATTCATCCATCGCTACAGAATAAAACTCGCATTTTTTGCATTTGTATTTTAATTTACTGAATGTACTTGTTGTGAGATCCTCTATGCATCTCGCTACTGTTACACTAGACAAGCTAATATTCGATATGACTTTGACCTTGTGATGGAAATAGCACATCAGCTACACTCTGAAGACATTCTTTTACAAATTCTCCATCAGCAAAGGGTTTCCCACTCTTAGAAATTTTTTCTGCTATCAAGTAACTAACATGAACACTATTTTCAGATTGTTTATTCGTTGTGGTGAAGAAAGACTGCTGAAAATTTAGTTTTGATTTTAATTCACTCACCTTATCACTTCGAAAATAACCTTCTAATGTGGAATATTTCTTACTGTGCTTAGTATCATAATGTCTCTTAATGATATATACCTTCATCACAGCTACAGTGTCGTTGCTAATAAGGCAAACTGCCTTAACCTTATGTACAAGAAAAAAATAAAAATCTGACCACTTTTCTTGAAAAAAATTGCACTTTTCCTTCAACTCTTCTTTTTTTTTGTTATCACGGCTTGCCATTGTGTACTCATTCAAAGACCATAAACGCTTCTGAATTTTAGAATGTGGAATGAACGTGAGTAACCTAGCTTAAAATCAACTGTAAAAAATCTGCTTATCACCAAATCAAACAGGACACTTACGATCACCGTTCCCGTTGACAACTAATTGCAACATTAGGAGAAATAGAATTCTGTTAATTTATTCTGCATACCCTCTATAGTAGCAGCACTCTCAAGCTCACCTTTGACGTAGTATTGACGAAAGATTGACATCTGTTGAAAACCTGTTAGATATAAGAATCTACCCTTTTTATGGAATTGAAATTTTATGCATAGTAAAATTTTTTATTAAAATTACATAAGATAGAGTGAATTTTTTGAAAAATTCATCATTTTCAGAAAATTTTATCTCAAATAATATCAGGCATCTCAATAAAATGTTTTAAACATCAAGAATAAGAGGAAAAAAAGTTTTTTTATGACAAAAAGCTGACAAGGCAATTTTTCTTGAAATAAAAATTCTTAAAATTATTCGGTTTTTCTTCAAATTCAAATGTGGGGTCACTAAAATGCCTTCAGGGGGCCACGGGTTGAAGACCCCTACTCTAAACTATTTAGAATTGTTTTTGTTGTTGTTTCTAAAGTGTAATTTACTTTAGAAAAAATTATCCCCTGCTACATAATAAAATTCACCACAAAGTACAAAGTAAATATAATGATAATAAATTCAAATAAATTTTTGTTGCTTTTTAAATATAGAAATCTCAGTTTTTTTTTTTTTTTTTTTTTTTTTTTTTTTTTTTTTTTTTTACTTTGAAGTTTATTGACTTGTATAAGTATATAAAACTTAACACTAGTTTTAGATATTTGCTTATATACTTTTGAAGAATAAATCTGCAAAACATTGGCATGTGTTATGTAACACTGTTAATGTGTACAACATAACCAGCTGAAAGTAATTTCAAGTTGTTTATTAAAATTAATAAATTATAAAATTGATTTGCTTTACTGTATTTGAAATTGCACTAAATGTTTCATAAATATCAGAGTTATTGAAAAAATTACTTTTAAATTAGTTTTCAGTTAGAAAACATTATTTATTAAAATGCTTATGTATAAAAATTGCTGTACTTTTAAATTAGCTCTCAGTTAAAAACCATTATTTATTCAAATGTATGTATAAAAATTGCTCAACATTATTAGCTGCTATTTACTTAATAAACAGTAATTCATTATCTGTAGTAGTTTTTTCTTTTCAGCCTCCACCTCGTGCTAAAGTAAAAAGAGGTATTTTTTCAAGAATATCTGAATCATTCGAAGGGAGAAAAAGTTCTCATCGGGTGAGTTCAAAATGTGTGTTAACTGTGTTTTTAGTATTTGGATTATTCTGAAAATTATTTTTCTATATATATTTTAGCACGTAGATTGCTAAAAGCCAATATTAGCAGATATACACTCCTTTCAACAAAATATATGCACCCTCAAAAAAATTGAATTACATCTATGAAACGCAGGATGCAAATGATTAAAACTGCCTTACTATTGAGCATTGTGAAGCAATACAACATGCATCTGAAGTGCCCAGCTAGTAGAATGAAAAAGGGCAGGTATGACAGGTATTTACAACTGCACTGACAGCTTGGATACATGATATTCTAATGAGAGATGCCTTTAAGACATACTTGACGGCATTATGAACAGTTGTCAGACTTTGAGAGGAATTGCATGATAGGGCTAAAAGAGGCCAGTTGGTAAGACAGGCAGATCAGTCAGAATCTTAGGTATAGTCATTGTCTGTTGTTGGAACCAATGGTTCACCGAAGGCATAGTCAACCACCATAGTTGCTCAGGAGGTTTATGGGCCACCAATGTGGGGAAATGATCGCACAGTTTGATTGCTTAGTTTGAGAATTATTAGAGCTGCCACATCTTCACCAGCAGTTATGCTATTATCGATTCAACACCATTTGCCGACTTACGGGGATCGCGGGATATCTAAGGATATGATTTGCAGAAGACTAGGTGATGTTGGGCTCAGATCTCAACATCAATTAAAATGCTTGCCTTTGACGCTCTATCTCAAGCAGTGTTGTCTTGTATAATGCTGCTTTCACTTAAACTGGGCATGTCCCATTGGAGAAATATATCTTCAGCAACAAGTCATGCTTTACTCTCAATGCTGATGACTGACACATAAGAATTTAGAAACGGAGAGATAAGCAATCATGTGTACCATTTCTTACTGAAAGGCACACAGCCAAAATACAGGTTGTGATAGTCTGGGGAGCAATCAGCTGGAACAGCCATTCACCTTTAGTCATGCTGCGAGATACTCTGACTGCTCACAGGTACATTGACAAAATTTTTGCAGCCGATCATATTGCCTGTCCTAGCAGGTCGATCTGGTTCTGTTTTCCAGCAGCGTTTGGCCACATACAGCATGATTTTCCAAAAAGTATCTTTGACATGCTAATACCCTCGACTGGCCTGCCAGGAGAAAATGAAACTTTTTCATTTTCTCATTTGTGGTAGTAAAAATATCCTTTTTGAATATTTGAAAATATGACAGTAGAGTTTTATTCAGTAAGAAATTATGCTCTTTTTTTAAATGGGACTTTTTTTTTAAATGGGTCTCCAGACCTGTTGCCTATCGAACATGTTTGAGACATGTTGGGGAGGCAGATTCAGCCATGTATAAATACGTCCCAACTTGCTGACCAGTTGCTCCATTTGTGGCACATTCTACCACAGGAGGACATTGGAAACTTCATAGGCATCGTTCCTAACTGACTATCAGCTATATTTGCCAGAGCTGGCTTTCACAGCTAAACTTTTTTCCACCCCTCTTTTTGATCATTTTATTACCTACTCTTACACTATACTACTGCTGAGTTCTGTAGTTGTGGATCATTCTTTCAGGGTGCATTTATTTTTTGCAATAAAGTGTATTTATGACACTCTTCTAGCTGTGACAAACTATTCAAACTAATTGGACTTCAAGAAAGAAACTTTTTGGATTGTATATATATATATATATATATATATATATAAAACCATTTAAATTTTATTTTTGCCCATACCTGATACTATTTTTATTGCTGCGTAAAAATATAAAAAAATCTTCCAAATTTCAAGTCTTTTTCATTTTCTCATTTGTGGTAGTAAAAATATCCTTTTTGAATATTTGAAAATATGATAGTAGAGTTTTATTCAGTAAGAAATTATGCTCTTTTTTTAAATGGGACTTTTGCTGCATGGAAAGGAAATACTGTTCTGTAAAGTTTGATAATATCGTGGCATTCATATATCTGTGTCAAAAAGTTTTGATATTTTAATATAAAATTATATTTTATATATGCTTTTATTATTTTATGAAGCATGCCAATCAATGTATGCAATTTGACATTATAAAAATATACATAGATATATTGATATATCTATTAGTGTGTAATTAAAAGTAGGTGGTATATTAATGAAGAAATTTATTGTTGTTTTACTTTAGCCACTAAAGTCTTCAAGAGTTTTCCCAGTATATTGAAATAATCCTAACCCTCCAACATTTTGGAAGCTGATTAAAATTTAAAATGATTTAAAGGGATAGATCTGATGTTGTCAGATGAAGGTGTTTTCCATATATTTTGTTCTACAAACATGGGCCTTTATGTACGATGGCTAAATCTGCTCTCTCTTTATACTTTGCTAGGCTGATGTGTCATCTTTGAAAATGAGTTATTCCTGACCGTAGCTAGAAACATAAAATGGAAGCCTGACTCAGCATTTGCACCAGTTCCATGATCAGCCGGATGTAATAAATATGGTAAAATATTAAAATATTGATGCATGATCTTAACCTTTTGCATGCTTGTATTTTGGCTGTTTTGCCACTCTCATGCTCGATTGTTCACTTTCACCCTTAGCATAACCTTTTTGCATATTCATATATGTGCAAAATCTGTGTTTTGATATTTTATAAACAGTTCTCAGCTTCCAGTATTTTGGTGGGTGTATTCTTGAGTGTACTCATTCTAAAAATTTTGATACAATACATTGAGAAGAAAGGAACTGGACAAGGCAGAATTTTAAAAACTTGCCTAAATTAAAGCTGGTTCAATCCCTTTTGTGTCCTTTTCTGCATTTATGCACTGATCCCAACACTTGCACTTCCATGAGCAGAATACTTTGGGGATTCATTTAATTGAAGTGTATCTGTACTTTATGTCCTTGATGGAATTAATGTCTCACACTATAAAAATGAGTTTGATTCATAGCTATCTGGTAAAGTAATTCACTTCATTGTGAAGAATATCAATTTTCTAAAGATTTTCATGTCTCCAATGAATGTTACAAAAGGAACAAACACAGTGTTGATGGTTTTCTGCTTAGATGGGGTTGGGCCCTGAGAATTCTTCCTTCCAGATTAGAAAGCCAAGGTCATTTTATTGTATGTTTTAAAGGAGGAAGAAGACGTATGTTATTTATGGCATTACCTATGTCTCCAACGGATGTTACAAAAGGAACAAACACAGTGTTGATGGTTTTCTGCTTAGATGGGGTTGGGCCCTGAGAATTCTTCCTTCCAGATTAGAAAGCCAAGGTCATTTTATTGTATGTTTTAAAGGAGGAAGAAGACGTATGTTATTTATGGCATTACCTGTGCAAAGACTGGAACAACAATGCACCAAAACCAAAATTCCCCTGAAGATGTATTATTTTTTGTGGCAGTAAAACTCATAGTGGGTCTGTATTCCTCTGCAAATGAGATTCAGCACTCTACAGTGTTTTTTTTAGGGGGAATTCAGAAATTTAAGTTCAAAGGATCTCGATTTTGACTTCATTGGGAATATTCAGATAGAATCATTGATAGAACTGCTTGTAGTTAAAATATTTTCATGCAGCATTCCAGTCATGATTCAAGCACTAGTATCATTGCATAAATGCAAAGGAGGACTAAGATTAATAAAACATAGATAAGATGTAATCCAGGTAAGTTTTTAAAATTACCTTGATTGCTTTCTTTTTGACCAACCTGTTATTTTAACTCTTTGTGGTCTTTATTATTATTATTATTGATATGATAGGTATTCCTAGTAATCAAATTATTTTCAAATCAACTATATCCAGCTTAAATGATAATTGGAATGTTTTAGTTACAAAAATTGTTTCTTTACTTTTATTACTTTTTATTTCATTAAGTCTAATTTTTAATTAAATTTCACTACTTTTTATTTCATTTATTCATTAAATCTAATTTTTAATTAAATTTCACTACTTTTTATTTTAAAAATTAGTCTACTTTTATAACTTAGTACATGAAAGTGTAAAGAATTTGCATGCAAATTAAGTATCCCATCACAAATTTCATAAAGAAAATTTGATTAAATTTCTTCTGCTGAAAGCAATTTCCTAGATTAACAGAATGATTTTTGTTTGTTCCTAGATTAACAAAATGATTGTTTTCAAGGTACCGAATTCATAGATTAATTCATATTTGTGTGACTTCTGTATAGTGATCTTAACTTATTCAATCTAACATATATCAAAATGGTATAAAAACTCTTATTTTTCAGTCAACTAGCTACACATTATATGTTTTCATCATATGGTGAGACTGTGCAATATCTTGAGCTAAACCTGTAAACACATTTCTTAAATGAGTGCTCTTTAAATAATACATAACCAAAAATTTTGCATTTTGCTTGTTGCAGAGTATGCATGATCTATAAATAAAATTAACAAAGGAATGTAAATAATGTTTTGGGTGTTAATTATGGCATTAATGAAAAAATTGTTTTCAAAAGAATTTATTTATTTAATGCATAGATGTCTAACATCTTTTCAAATTAGCACTTATAATTGAATCTTTATTTAAATTATGTTGGACAGGTAATCAGTGATAAGTGAATACTTGAACAGAAATTCTTATTGCAATATTTTTATCTATTGTGAATTGTTTCATATTTATAGGACTGTGAAGAGTTCTTTCAGAAAGAAAGAGACTGCATATCTAAATATAGTGTACAAATTAAAGAAACAAATGAGGTAATGAATTCTTAGAGTTATTTTAAACTTTCACATTTCATTCTGCTGTTCCATCTTTGTTTAAAGCTATACTTTGTGTAATATCATTATAATAATCTCAAGAGACTTAGGTTCTTCTTGTGAATCTCTTTTGAAATCCTTATTTTATACATGCAGGTCTTTCTTTTAAAATTGTAAATTACAACAAATTTAACAACCTTTCTAAAGTTAGAATATGAAAAGTCCCTTTTAAAGTAGTAAATAAATTCTTAATCTTTTTCAGGCATTTTGTTCTGTTGTGTATTCTCAACAAAGTAAGTAATCATAAAAACATTGTTAAAATTATTGAGATAAACCAAAGTGAATAAGAGTAAATTTCGTAGTCTTATAGGAATTTACAAAAAAAAAAAAAAAAAAAAAAAAAAAAAAAACCTCTCAGTTAAATTTATTTTTGGTATATGAAAAAATCTGGTACAAGTTCATTAATATGATATTATTTCTAGTTCTATTCTAAAATGATAATCAATTCTTACACTGTATGATATAACAGCATTTTGTTAGCTATTAATATTACATATTAATAATTATAGATAAATGTGATAATTGAAGATCTTTGGGGCACCTTGATAAATTGCCTGCAAGCTAATAGCTTGTTGTTTATATTAATTTCTTCTGCATGTGTTTTGTGTCTTTTATATGTTAGCTGTCATGCCCAGCTCTTCATTATACATATATCTTTTTTTAAATTTTATGCTTCATCCATAAACATGTTGTCTTTCATTTTGCTATGAAAAAATCGCTGTTCTCTTCTTTTTAAAAATTAAAAAGAGAGAGAGAGAGAGTTTCTGTTGTGCTTTGTGAGAATGATAAAAAAAAATTATTATGAACTTGCATGACTTCATTCAAATAAAGAATCCCTAGAAATAACAAGCATCCAAAATGAAAGCTGGTTTGATGGATCAAAATTTTTTTCTTTCGATTGCATTATATTTTGTTTATTATAGATCAGATGAAATGATGTCAGTCAAGTAGTGTGAAAAATAATAAAATATCTTTTATAAAAATAACCACTGATTCAAGTAGTTTTCAGAAAGCAGTTAACTCAAAACATCTGGTCAAATGTATGCTAAAGGCCAAATGGGAAGATCCAACAAAATTGTCAAAATCAATGACAGTTTCTTTGTGCATATTAAAAACAGTGTTGAAAGGTTCTTACCTAAATGGGGATAATGCTTTCTTGTTGAAATTTCCAGCCAAAAAAAAAAAAAAAAAAAAAAAAAACCTTTTGAAAAATGTTGTAAACCATATTGAACACAGCTCTACAATATGCAAATATTGCTGGGAGAAAAAGAAGGGAGAGAGAGAGAAATCCTGAATATTTTACCATGAAATATATAATTTTGTGAAATCCAAAACTAGTGCACATACAGAGCATATAGAGAGGATGTGGGGAACAGTCAGAAGCATAATAAGAAACAAAATTGAAACAGTGTGCAATATTTGGAATCTAAGAGCTAAAAATATTGTTTTGAAGCTACTCTTTTAACAATTTCTTACTTGTGCTAAAATTTGTTTTATTTTGGTCTCTTTTGGTAAGCTTTTGATGAACTTTTTTCCTCAAAGATTAAAAAATATCATATATATTTTCAAGCATTTGTTGCAAAATTTAAAAGCTATTGTACAATAGAATTTTTAATTAGAGAATTTGTTTCTATTTTAGGACTATGCAATGTTCTAGGCCACCTTGCTACAGCATTAACACTCGCCCAGTGTTCTAATGAGAATGCTGCCAAGTTAGGAAATAAGTGAGATTATTTAATTTGCATTATGATTTAAAACATTTTTTATACATTGTATTTTACATTATTTTTTGTAATAGGGTGAAAATTAAAATGATCTATCATGGTACTTAAATGTTCAGATGGGAAAAGTACAATAAACAATTATAAATATGAAAAGCTTAGGACTAGATATCATATGGAATTTAGAGTTTTGCAGATTCAAGTTTATTATTAAAATTTTGAAACTAAATTTTAATTCAGCAAAATAAAAATAGTCTAAAAATTGCTGTACAGAATTATTTTTATTATGTAAATAATCTGTTTTTCCTCTTTAATACTATTAAGTCTGTAATTAAGTTTCAAATTTATGTAATTTGCAACTAGGGAATAAAATACTTATTAGCTTAGATTGACGATGAGCTTTTAAAGAGTATGAGCTCAATCTGAACAAAGATGAATGTGTTGAAGTCGCTACATGAGAATTAGCAGCTGAACAACTAACAAAAATTTTTGGAATGATTGAAATCATGTCAGATCATATTATGAAAGCAATATAGTGTATTTATCCTTAAAATTTTCTAAATAATAAACAATGCAGTTCATTTCTACAAAGAATGAAAAGAAAAGGGTGGAAAATTGTGCAGGTGTTGATATTGTAATTTTTGAACACATAAGCAGATCTATGTAATTTATGAAGCATAATTGTACACAAAGAATTCCAAGTTAAATGTCATCATGTGCACAATCACTTGCAATTACAAATATGTATATATATGTATATTAGTATTATTTATATCAATTTAATACATTTCATTTTTTATTTATTTTCATTATTTATTGATATCAGCTTTAATGCATTTCATTTTTTCCCCTGCAAATTTTATGTGTATTCTTTTAGAACACTTATCCAAAATTATGCATATATGTGCATAAATATTTATTTTACTATATATATTATACTTTGAAATGTGCTAAGACGGTTATGCTCTTCATACTTTATGTTGAAAATATGCTACTTATGTACTTTTGCATCATACTTGAAAGTTAGCTTAAATCTCACCAAACTCGTGTCAGTCATTCTGACAGAAGTTTGAAGGAATAAATCGCTTTTAACTGAGTTAGATAATCAACAGATATAAGCAATAAATACGGCATATAAAAAAACTTAAATATGAGCTGAAACTTGCACCAGTTGTACCAGCAGAAGTTTGGAAGGAACATATTACACTTTACATAATTAGATAATTAAAAAAAATTAATGAATAAACTGATTTATTGAGGATTAACTGAGGTTATATAAAACTGTGGTGAAGATCTTAAAGTGTGTTATGACTTATCCGTTATTCGTTCTAAATCCCATTGCTTGGCAACAGTTTTGTTTATGAAAATTGTCAACAGGAAAATACCTTAGATACCAATAATGCTGAGCATTGATTAAAAATATCTGCTTATCAATAAATCTGCCCTGTGAAAAGCAGATAATTTGAAATATTTTTTTTTATATATGCCATCTTATAAATGACCTTGAAAAGTAAATAAAGGCACTGGATAATGTGTTCCTCATTCATTCAAAATTTCTTTCGACTGGAGTAGTTTTTATCTCACTGCATGTACTTACAGATTAATTCAATTTTGTAGCTTTACAAACTTATTAATTGTGAATTTAAGTTTTTGCATTTGAGGAAGCTGCGCCAATTTCACGTTTTGGTGAATTTTAGATTAGTGGATTTTTAGTCTTTTATAGTTAAAAATTTGAACTTTGAGCCAAATTCCATAACCATATTCCCTATCAAAAAATGTCTGTACCCAGCCTTTATTTTCACAGCTGTTGGTTGTAGACATATACTTCCAGTTACAAAAATGTCAATAATGCAAAGATTCATGTTTTGGCATCTTAAAATTAAAATAATTTTATGTAAAATATGAAGTCTAACTTTTTACACATTGCTCTGGTTCTTATTTTTATGCTTAAGAAAATTTTATACTTGTTATAAAAAAATAAACACAGAAAGTTTGATTCTTATATGACAAAAATTGACTGTGGTATTTGATATTAAAATCAAGAATCATATTCAAGGAGAGTGCACAAATTGAAGTGTGAAATAGTTGCATTTTTACTTTAAAAAAAAATATCATTAGGTTTCTGATATTAAGAGATTACGTGATGAGCATTTCTATTGAGATTACTGTGAAAAATAATCAATATAATTTTTTTCGAAATGGGTATTATATTCATAGAATCTTATAGAATTTCTGTTCTAGAAAACACCGGCGGGCTTCAGCATTGGCACCACACAGTCAACTTGTTATATTATTTGCATTAATAAAAAATGGAAAATATTTGTTTATTATTATTATTTTATGATTACCAGATTATGATTCTAAAACAATAAAAGTTCATGAGACTATTAATGATGTATTTTTAGACTTTGAAAACTTATAAATTACTTGTATGAAAACTCTTTCACACTAATAAAACACTAATAAGTGGTAACTGAATAGCAAACAAAACTCAGTGCACAATTACCACAAACATTTGATTTGTTTAAAAAAAAAAAAAAAAAGTTACTAAATAGTGAAATAAAAAAAGACATGCATGTACATAAAAAATGAGTTAATCCTATGGCATTCATAATGATCAGTCACATTATATTCAATAATCTTAACATAAAAAACATATGAAAATTATTGATCTTGTTTATGCACTGCATAGTTAAATAATAACAAAATGACAGGGCCTGCTATATCAGCCTTTTTTACTTTTCTTAAAAAATTCAGTGTTCTTAATGTACTAAGGATTTATGAATTCAAGTTAGAGAGTTTGATAATATGCCTAAAATAAATAGGCATTGTTTTTATTATTTTGGTTTCACATGCATGTAGAATTTCACTATTTTATAAAAAAAAAAAAAAAAAAAAAAAAAAAAAATTATACTTTTCTGTTAACAGATGTCACTTAGCATTGATGTGAAATCTGAAGTTAATGGCAACAACTCATAACAACATATGAAGCTTTATGAAAACAATAACAGTTTTATTATATTCAGAATAAATGCAAAAAGTAAAGCTATATACAAAAATATGAAGTAAATTTTATCAGATTAATTTCAAATTACGCAGGAGGCATAAAGCTGCCAATTTCATTTAAATTTGGTGAAAAATTTAATTTATACAATGCTGCCATATGAATTTCATGAGGTATTACTCTAGATCAGGGGTTCTGAACCGGTGGTATGTGCATCATGGTGGTATGCAAGAGAAAAATAGGTGGTACGCAAAGAAACAAAGTATTTTTAAGTATTAATTAAAAATTAAAACCCCAACATTTTGATTGAGGTTTTTCTCTAACACTCGTAAATTTATGCGATTTGAGATTTCTACAAGAGTGGTGATACTAAAGGTTTAGATGGTAGAAGATTTTCAATTTTTGTGTAGATGGTATGCGTTAGTCGAAAGGTTGAGAACCACTGCTCTAGATGGTGGCAACCAGTGCCACACTGATGTTTATTTTGTACATGGCATCCTGTGTCAGGATCAGTAAAACTGTATTTGTAATTTAAGTTGCAAGTATTAATGTAGCAACTGCCATTTCATCTGCTTAAGCAACTGAAAATCTATGACAGAAAATTCCTTAAGTGATGTTATTCTTTTTCCTATTCACAATGATCATTATACATCTATTTATGGCACAATATAAACAGGCTAGCACGTTGGCACTCATTTGGGTACTGGTGCTCCATTAACAGTAAAGTGGTCGGAAGTTTTATGAAAATAAATCTACTGTTTGTAGAGATTTCTGCAAAATATACATTTAATTGGTAGCTTACCATGTAATTTATGCTGATACACTTTTTGTGCTTTTCTTACGTTAAATAATTCAGTCTATAACACGTGCTCCATTTCTGTTGATGAATTCATTTTGATGGTTTTATTGATTATAATCATTGTTGTAATTTTTTGAATTCCTTTTATGATTCTTGATATTGCTGTATATGCTGTCTCTTCCAAATCTGAGCTTAATTTAATTTTCATTTTAATGTAGAGTATAACTTTATAATTTGCATTACAATTATTTTACTGGTAATTGTATTCATATTTTTGAATGATGTTTACTAAATGTAACTTCTGTAGGTATTTATTTTGAGATTTTTGGAAGGTTTTAATTGATTTGTTAAAACCTTCCAAATCTATGTTCCTGTTATGTACTAATGTTCTGTGCAGTTTAGATATATTTTGAACAATCCATGTGTTCATAACTTCTTTTTTGGTATAGTTGATAATTTATATTGCCATTAAATATATTTTTTATTGAGTTTAAAGGGAAAAATAACAATTATGAGGTCTAATTTAAAAATTACATATGGTAAAAGTATATACTTAGTTTTTAGCAGTTTAAATAAGGTATATTTATAACATCTTTGAAGTTGGCGTAATTTATTTGTTGCTCTGGATGTTAGATAAGAATTTTTTTTTTTTTTTTTTTTTTATTTTATATTCTCTAGGTACAGATTTCATAGTTTGAGTAATTGGATATCTCACAGTTGACGTTTGACAATTTTTCTACTTTTCTCTGTAAATTTATTTTTCCAAATGGTAATCCTTATTTGTAACAGGGGGGGGGAAACTGAATCCTTTTATATATATATATATATATATATATATATATGAATTTACTTCAAAGAAATCTAACATATATGTTATGCTTCTGTTTCTCAGTTTTACATTTTTCACGGCATTTTGTATTCAAGATTTTTTTCCTTAAAAATATTAATTTTTGTGTAATGTAAAATTTTTATTGAAATAGTGCCTATTTTCAGGTTATGCAGCTTATTTTCAGAAGCCTTAGAAGATGCAAGAGTAAGTTTGATTTCAGAAAATGATTTTAAAAATTGTTCTCTTAAAGTATTAATTATGTTTGTTCATCTAATGAAAGAACTAATGGAAAGATTTTCTTTAAACAGCAGTCTTAATGAAATGATAGAAAAGAATGATTTTATATCATATAGATATAAAATCTGAAATAATCAACAATGCTAAAAAATGTTTGATTCTCAAATTATGAGAAATGTGAATCTCTTCTTCCTGTCTATTATGTTCTGTCTTACATAGAGAATGAAGTGGTATGAGATGTTTATCACAACAAAATGCAGTTTTCAAAGGTATGCTTAGAGAAATGAGTTATGTAAATTTTTGCAGTTTAATCAGGCAATAGTTTGAAAGCTTAAAAAGTTTGTTAAACTAACTTTTTTTAAGACTTCTTCAAGAATTTGAAAATTGTATTTTATGTCTAAAAGAGGGTGTTATTATTTTTCTATTCAAATTTTGTATCCCAGTAAAATATAAATTGTTATCTCGTTTGTGGAAAATATTTATTGCAAGCCTCAAGCAGAGGAAGTCTGGAGGAGGTCAGCTATGTTTTAAATAATATCTTTCTTTATTAAACTAACTCAGTCTCCATGTTCAGTAAATTTATAATGGAATATTATCATAGTTTGCCCCCCTCAGTCATTTGACACTGCTATTTTGAATAACTCAGTTTAAATATAGGGCATTATGTTTTTGTATTTTGAATTTCTGGGTATAACTAATAGGTTTGTAAATGTTTATTTTAAAAGCATTTTGGATGTTAAACTGGGAATTTGAATTTAAAAGATCAGTTTGCAGTTTTTAAACCTCTTTATGATTTTAATGTTTTGAAATTTTTAATGAAAAAATCTTTTTTCAAATTTTAGGCTAGCAGTTAAATTAGTAGTTTTCAAATTGACAAATTCTGCAGCCTCTTCTGTCATGTTATATTCAGGATCTAGGCGATGGCATATTCTAATTGAATTATGTTTTGCCACACTCAGCTAATATCAGCACATATATTTTGTGAAGTAATCATATGATTCCTTGGTCACCAGTAATCCCCAGATATCTGGAAAATCAGATATCTGCCAGGATATAATTTGTCATCATGTGAATACTAACTAGCACACTTGCAATGAGAAAGATCTGGGAACCTACAGTCTTTTCATCAAGAAGAGAGCTTAAAATTAAACAAAATACAGTACAAAGTCTTTAATCCGGACTCATCAGGACTTCGGCGATTCCGGATTATAGATTATCAATTTAAATCTGGTAAGATGGCATGCAGAAATTATAAAATTAAAAATATGAAACCGTAATTTATGAAATAAAGAGCAATTGTGATCTAAACGGTATCAAAATTTACAAAAAAAAAAAAAAAAAGCTTAGTATTTATTTGTTTATTTTATTAAACATTTCTTTCAGTGTAAGTTGTTTAAGTTGCTTTGTTTTATGTGCTAATACTTTCTCTTTAATTCTATAAACAGACATAATTTCTTGTTCAGTTATAAAGTTTCGCTGTTTAAGTCCTGTAATTGCTGTGCCGAGAATACCGACTAACTTGTCAATCGAAATTTTTTCATTTTCACTAACCTCTCTGTCACTTTCTTCATGCCTTTATCCATTTTTTGCAGCAATTCCACTTTTTGTTTGATGGACGTCGAAACATGCTTTCGCTTTGTAGATCCTTTGGCAGCTCCAGAATCGGAAACTCTTTTTGACATAATCGAAAGTTCAAGCTTACTTTTTATAAAATTGCTCTAACAGTCTGCAAGAAATAATAAGCTGGATCCAATTAGAAGATTAAGGAACAATGCAATCTGCAGCATTAAGTGAAATAGATAATTTTAGCCTACCTTATACCATCCGTTATAATTTAAATGCACATGTGTAAAGGTATTATGCGCATACGTAGAAAGTTTGTAGCTTTGAGGTGCAGATTATAGATCATTCGGGATTATGGACGTCTGGATTAAAGACTTTGTACTGTACTTCGTGCATTTTCACAAAGGCTTGCCATATGCATGAATGTAAAAATTCATTCAACTAATCAGATGCATAGGATTTAGAACATTATTTATTTTAATATTTCTAAATATTGAATTGCAATGAAATTGCAGGTGCTATAACTAAAAGAATAAGCATTAGCTGATAATATTTTTCTTTTAAAAATTTTAACAGCATGCTGAATAATGCAAAATTTTGTGCTTGGAAGTGGTGAAAATAAAACTGCAAACGGTAGCAGTGGTGCTTTCAGATTATATATATGTAATATATAATTTAAGAAAGGTGAACAAACTAAAAAAAGATTTTTGTGGTCAAAAATTTTGTGCATTGAGCTGCAAACATTAAAAAACAAGGTTAAAAGAAAATTCTTAACGCTTCCGCTTAAAAGTCGTTGTGATACTGTGCTTCCGGTGAAAAATTTTTTAACATTAAGTTCAAATAAAGTGCAATGAAAAGTGTAAATACAAAATAAACGAAATTATCACTAGAATACTTACAAATAAAAAGCGTATTTAAAACTCAAATCAAATTGGAATCCATTTAACGCCTTCCCAAAGGGATTTAAGTAAAAAATTTCGTTATCTAAGTCAAAAAATCTAAAAGAATAGGTAAATGCCAGCTTTTTTTAATGTATTTTTAATGACTGTTTTTGGAATAAGGTTTCTCTGTAAGATAGTAACAAAGTAGAGTACTTCTTCTTGGAGGTGTTTTGTATTATTACAGATTCTTTTAATTCTAAGAAGTTTTGTGCATTAATTGTATATATTGTGTCTTTTAGAAATATTAGAATTCCAATTAGTTAAAGTGTTGGAAAGTTGAAATCTCTGTGTTTACCGTAGATTTTTAAAAGATTGTAATCTAGAATATGCAAATCAAGGTAAACTATATCATTTTGAACTGTATTAGTAGTATTAAGCTTGAGGCAAGAAGGGTAGATATTAGCTTTTTCAATTTTGTTGAAGTTGTTGAAGGCAATTACATCATCAATATAATGAAAGATGCGTTGGTAATATTTTTTATCTTCAATTTTTAGTGAACATGCAAAAGTAAATTCTTGTGTGAATAGGAATAGTTCACAGATTGCGGTTGAAAAGTTGCCGCTCTTGGGTATTCCCTGTATTTGCTTAAAGATGTTATTAAATTGAATATAATTGTTAAAAAGAACGTTTGAAAGAAAAAGTTGCCAATCTTCAGTAGATAATATTGTAGTTATCCTAAGAAATAAATTAGGAGAGTAAATATTATATATATAAATAATATTGATGAAATAACTAACCAAGATATTCTTTTTAATTAAACAATTTCAAATTATCAGCAAACACACCCATAAATATAATGTAAACTACAAGAGAAGCTTAACATGATTATGCAATGTTTCAGTAAAGAATTCATCACCTTACTGTATATCTGTATGAACACGTTTCAAAACCAGATGAATTTGGTTGCTAATGATCTAGAGTGGAGCAAGCATCAAAGCCGTATTAGAATGTCAACAGAGAAAACACAATTTTTCTTAGAAAATGCTCTGTCACTACTAACATAGTGTTGAGTATGTCACTTCTAACATAGTGCCTGAAGGTAGCTTATCACTGGATAGCTAAGAACATAATGAATCATTTCAGAGATAAAACATTGCTGAGTGAAATCAATTTGTGAGTATAAGATCACTGAATGAAGTTATATTAATCAAACAACTTTGCCATTGAAGAGTAAACAGTTACATATGCATCTTGTTCTGTTATGCGAGTTTAAGAAAAAAAATAAGTGTTGAAACCATAACAAAAAACATATATAACTGAAATGTGCTTCTGCTCTTTGCATAATAAATATTTAGTTTGGCAGATTTTGAAATGGTGACTTTTAACTTGATGATAAATTGAATTGTGGACAACTTTATGCCCAAATTAACAATGATATGCATGCAACCCAAGACCTACAACTGAAGATTACAATTAACTAAGAGGCTTAATATTGAAAACTTGTCAACATTTCAGCAACTACAGAAACATAGATTCACTTTACCACATAGTTCGATTTAGAGAGGGGGGAACTTAACTATATCTGTACTCAGTGCCAAAAAAAGAGATGCTTTTGGAATCAAATCAAAACAGGCAATGAAAAGTGGATTTTGTGCAAGAACATATAATGAAAAATGAACTGAAAATAAGTGTGCAGAACCCATGCCAAGAATTTCTTCATCTAATACAAATATAGCTTCTGTTAGATAGAACTACTGAGGATAATTTTCTTTATTCTTTTCCCATGAGGCAGAACAGTTATGTTGAACTAGAGTTGTAAGCAACTCAGTGTCGAAATTCACCAAAAAATGTGTGGTTTTAGCTCCTCAAAGAGACATTATTATTTACCATAACAACTTCAGATTGCCTGTTATTCAAGTGATGCTGCAAATATTAAAAGCATTAAAATGGAAAATCTTTCAGCAACCATCATATTCTAAAAACTTCCTGCTTTTCATTTTTATCTGTTTCTCTGTCTTAAAAATAGTCTGAATGACTAGAAATCTTATTCTGCGAAAGCTATCGAAAACCATCTTGCAAAAGTTTTTTTTTTTTTTTTCCCCAGAAAAAAATCATGTAGTTTCTATTTAAAAAAAGTTATAAACTAATGTACATACATTTTTACCAATTCTTTAATTTTTAGCATGGTCTCCAAGTCTTGTCTTACAATGACGAAAACACCCTGGGTGCCTACTTAGATCTTTATACTCGGTATATTGAATCAGAGAAAGTAAGAAAAGAATTTTTTTCATATTTATTTGATCTAATAGAATACATGTTCATAATTTACTGTCAAGTAAATTATAAATTTGCATTTTAATTCATTAATATAATTTTAAATTTTAGTCATTTACATTTTCATATATGAATATATATGTGGATTTTTTTGTTTAGCAGTTACAATTCATGTTCAGACAAAACATTTATAAAAACATTAATACATCTATAATATCATTCATCTATAAATGCAACATCTATAACACCATATATCTATCAACACAACACCTATAACATCATATATGTATTAACACAACATCTATAACATCATATATCTACTATTAACACATCATCTGTAACATCTTGCTTTTCCTCTCATAAAACAAAGTGGCGAGAGTTCTATCAATTTCATTCGTGCAGTAAACAGTTAAAAATAGGACAGCATGCGAGGGAAAATATTAAGCTATGGATTTAGAATCCCACATTCGGCCTTCCTGCTGTGTGTCGACCTCGCCGACATTATTCTTCTCTTGACATCATAAATCATTGATCATCTTACATCATCGTTGTCTTTGGTAAAAGAATGATCATCATGAATGAGTTGAAACTTGAAAAAAAATACGGAGAGGGGAAGATTGTGTGCCAAGGAAAATATTTAAAGAAAACATCTTAATTTTCTTTCATCTTTGCAACAATAACATCGTCAACAGTCCCTTCTATTTTTTAAAAATCTTCATCTAAAATGAAAAATATCTTCATTCTTAACATTTTTGGAAAAGTTCAATTCATCTTAAAAATAACATTAACTGAAATATTCATTATTATCTGAAAAATCACAGTTCGGTTATCAGTTGTATCACTCCAAGTTTAAATGTAATAAGCAGTATTATTCTATACATCCTTCTTCTGCTTGGGTCCATTGTTTTATGTATCAGCACATGTAGTTGTTTTTGTGGGTCCTTCATGATCTTCTTGTACGACATCATACTTGCCATTATGCTTTATTTTTATAATCTTAGATGGGCCTAAATACTTTGATTTTAACTTAAGGTTTGGTTCAAATTGTGTTTTTTTATTGCTACTAAATCATTAATATTGTAACATTTTGGAGAACATCTTCGAAAGTTGTATGTTTTCTTGTTTTCTTTCTGTACCATAAATATTTGTTATTCGCATCTTTTCGGAGTTCTTCTCTGCAAGTTTCAAAATTGTCTTGAATTTCTGCATCAATTATTTCTTTAAGTTTAGTATTTTCTTTTCTAGAAGTATAATCAGTATGTGCTTGAAAAGTGGAAGCAGTGTGTTTGCCTACTCCAGATATAAAATTAAGAGCTGATTTTGCTTTAGGAAATTTTATTTCTGAAACTGAAGGTTCTTGCGGCTTCAATTTAACATGTTGAATTTTTCCTGTTTTAGTTGGTCACTTTCTTTATCTATAACTGGCAAATGTCTGCATCTCAAAGAAATAGGTTGATCATCTTTTAAAATAATATGCATTTCTATATTAGTAGATTTTCCATTGGCATGTCTATCTTTAGGTTTTTCAGACGTACCAGAGTCCAATTCTTCAGCTTGAAGTTTTTCTTTTGTTTAATCTTTTTTACTGTTCATATATCTGTTTAACCAGTATTATCTTCAACCAATTTCTCAGATTCTGAAGTCTTTCTTTTTCTAGAACTCTTTGGAGCTGAAGTGGGTTTTCAGAATCATTAATTTTTGCATTACTCTCTTTGATTTCCTAATTTTTCTTAGATGAAATTTTCTTCTTCCTTTAGGAATGGAATTCTTCCCTTCCTCTACATTTTGCAATTTTCCTTTCCCACTTTTAACATCAATTTTTTCTTCCTGAGACTCCTTTTCCTTTAATGCATCTTCAACAGCATCTCTTTCTTCTATAAGGTTTTCAGTTTTATTAAGAATATGATTTTCAGTTAAGTGTTTTACTTTGGACTTGCATGCTTTATTAATATTTGAACAATTATCTATTTTCTTGATCTTTATTTATGAACATTAAATTCAATTCATTTTAATCTTCTGCTACTTTTGTAGATATGACATTCTCGTTTATAATAATTTTCATTTGCAAAAGTAATTCATTTCCAATAACAGCATTTTCATTCATTGTTCCTTGAGGCACAACATAAATATTTGATTTAATTTCACAATCATCAATTCGTATGGAACCTATGAAATAACCAATAGGTTTTACTTTATTACTACCAAAGCCTACTAGAATCAAATTGGAAGAATTAATACTAGGTGGACCAGTTACAATTACTGTATAAATATTTTCCGATACTATACTTATATCACTTCCTGTATCAATAAGAGCTTTTACTTCTACATAATCTATCAATGCAATTATATGATTCACTTTGCCAAAATTGTTTAAATTTGTTTTATTTTTTGTACATTCTGCAGCTACGTGTCCAATTAAATTACAACGAAAGCATTTTTTCCCCTTGCTCATATTTTTGCAGACATTCTCCATGTGGCCAAGATTTCTACAGTTATAGCAATGAATATTTGTTTTTATTTTACTATCAAAATTATCACCTCTGGTTTTAGAATTAGGCTTAACGGATTTGTATTTATCATTATCTAATTTAATTTTTTCATATATCTGAAGTTTTTCCTGAAATTCTAAAGAATAGCTTTATTAAGTATAGAATCGTTTATACCATTAATAGCCTATTCAATTAAAGCAGCGTGTTCAGTACAGTAAAACTCCAGAAATCCACAAAGCTTGGGATCGTGCGGATTTTGGGATTTTGCGAATTTCAGGACAGAAAAGATAAATCATAATATTCAGACTCAAAGTGCAAAATAAATAAGGCATATTAGATACATTTAATTAAATTATTATATACATTATTGCAATAATTTATTATATGCGTTAAATTATTATTACATATATAAATTGATTACATTATTCATTGTATTATATGTACACACCATCCAGGTTTGCCGCCAGTTTCGGATTCCGGTGTTAGAATCATTGTTGCTGTAAAATTTCGACAGCTTTTCTTTATTTTTTCCTATATATGATACACAAATGTGTCTCAATTCCATACGATTCTGCTATAAACCGAGGAGTGGAACCTGCCTCCATCTTTTGCAGAATCTGCACTTTTTGCATTACCGTCAATGCAACGTGTTTACGTTTTTCAATGTTGCAGGCAGTAAAATCATGAATGCGTTTCTTATCTGTCATTGTATTAAAAAGGGCTGAAATTTAAAATATTCTTAATTTATCCACAAAATATCTGGATTAAAAAAGGCAGCACTAAATCTTGAGAAATAACAAAGCTCAGAAAATACAACAACGTGAATCGTGAATTTGAAAGAAGAGTTGAGTGAATCGTCTGCTTTTTTACCTCGATGCAGATTAGAAGGAAAAAAACTTTTATCATGATGTCAATAATTTGGTATTTCCATTATGACTCGTTATTATTCGGTAATTATGACGTCATTATTCGATAAGTATTTTTTCTTCGATATTTCATACTCAATGCTGCGGTTTCCGGAACCTATAAACTGAATGTTTATATTTTGAGAGGCAATGCAGATTTCAGGTCGGCGGATTTTCGGTATTTGACTGTATTATCTTTAGAACATAGATTTTTAATTACCAAAAAATATTCATATGGAGATTTTTTTCCTGCATTTTATGTTTTGATAATAAGTCATGTAACTGAGCAGAGTTATACTGAACATCATATTCATTCACTAATAAAGGTTTAAGTGCATTCCATGAATTAATTTTCGTTTCACTTTCAATGAATAATTTTGCTTTTGGCAAATATCAGTTTCTGTAATTCATTTAGTTTTAACAAATTAGATACATCCTCAAAGTTTTCAATGAATTTGTGAACCGAATTATACAGATTACCATCAAATTTAGAAATCAAGCTTTCAGTATCATTAAAATTTATTTACGCATTTGAAAACTGTGAAAACCAAAATTGAACTGATGATTTACTAATATTTTGTTTTACCTCGTAATCTTCATCAACAACAGGAAATGAACTGTCATTGAAAATTTCTTCAGTTGATGTATCGATTTCACTATCAACAAAAACATTCCGTTCTTTGTCCAATATTGCGTCATATTTCTCTATTTGTTGCTTGTAAGTTGATCCCACTTCTGACACCATTTTTGTGGGTTCTTTTGTTTCGCAATCACAATTCATAATTAAGACCCAATAACACGCCGAACAAATACTAATTCAGAAGTCAAACAACAAAAATCAGCGTTATATTTTCAAAATTTTCACAAGACATTTGCGGTTTTGCAGCTGAGGATGATGGTTCAGTAAAATCATCAAAACTAGTCCTGTGAAATTTTTGAAAATATAACGTTGATTTTTGTTGTTTGACTTCTGAATTAATCACAATTCATGTTCAGACAAAACACATTTATTGAAGCATTAATACATCTTTAATACAACATCTATGACATATATCTATTAGCACAACATCTATAACATCGTATATCTATTAACACAACATCTATAACATCTTAAATCTCCTCTCATAAAACAAAGTGGCGAGAGTCCTATCAATTTGACTCGTGCAGTAAACAGTTAAAAATAGGACAGCATGCGAGGAAAAATGTTAAGCTATGGATTTAGAATCCCACATTCGGCCTTCCTGCTGTGTGTCGACCTCGCCGACATTATTCTTCTCTTGACATCATAAATCATTGATCATCTTACATCATCGTTGTCTTTGGTAAAAGAATGATCATCATGAATGAGCTGAAACTTGAAAAAAATACGGAGAGGGGAAGATTGTGTGCCAAGGAAAATATTTAAAGAAACATCTTAATTTTCTTTCATCTTTGCAACAATAACATCGTCAACAGTCCCTTCTATTTTTTAAAAATCTTCATCTAAAATGAAAAATATCTTCAATCTTAACATTTTTGGAAAAGTTCAATTCATCTTAAAAGTAACATTAACTGAAATATTCATTATTATGTGAAAAATCACAGTTCGGTTATCAGTTGTA